TAAATATCAAAAATATAAGTCTTTGTTTTACTATGGTTGCAAATATCAAAAAATTTCTATATGTGACACGGCACCAGAGTTAAGTTAGGGTTTTTCAAAATGCTGACACGCCGAGTTCAAAAGGTTCGCCATCACTGGTCTAAGGGCTAAGGCATTTACACACAGTCAGCTTTGGCCAACACATCACAGGTTTAAGTAAATGAAATGAAGGAGGGGCCTCTGCAGGAATGGGTTGGAGCAGCCGTAGGCAAACTACAGCCCACGGGCCGAATCCGGCCCGTTTGACCGGGTTGCCTAACATTCCCCAGGGAAACACCTGGAGTGCCACATTCTGCTTTCTAAACTACACTCCTTTGCACTTGCCCCTTCCTTTGCTGTCGCCACTTATCCCCTATGTCAGGCCTGTTTGATTCCTAAACATTTCCAGTCTCCTCTGGCATATTCTCGTTGACTACCATTAGTTTTAGCTCATGTTGCTTACTATTAATATCTTTTGATAAATTGTTTTCACATTCATGTTGGCTTATGTAAATACTTGAACAAATCAGGCAAATATCAACTAACCTTGGACTCTAGAATATTAGAAAATGATAATTAGATTTAAAAAAGATCAATGTCCAACATTTGAATTGTGTCTGATATCAGCAAGATGGGGAGGGGGGAGTAAGAGAAGGAGGAACCAGTCCCCAGGGAAAAGGGGTGGCTCTCCTAAGAGACTGTCAGTGGGAGTTGGGGGCATATGGGCCATCAGCTATTTATAGATTTCCCTCTGCCCACGGAGACATGTTGGCAGGAAGAAAAGTCATGCAGGAGCCAGAACAGCCTGGCTGCTTTCTTTGGGCCTGGACCTCCTTCCCCCAGCTCAAATGAGAAGAGAAGGAGGTGCTACTCCTCCCCATGGCCAGCATCCAGGGGCCTGGTTTGCCCTGGTGAAACTCTCCTCCTACTCTGTTTGTGCCTCCTCTAACCTGTGCTCCCTAGCCTAGGGCTTTAAGATGGGCATAAGGAAGCCACGTGTCTGCGGGCTTCAACATGCTGCCACACCCACTGGCACCCCTGGGTGAACAACAACAGCAAACACCTACTGAATGCTTATTATATGCCAGGGACTATTCTAAGCACTTGACCCACCCATGATCACTCATTTATCCCCACTGCTATGAGGGAGGTACTACTACCATCTGTTTCACAGGTGAAGAAACCAAGGCAGAGGGGTTAATTACAGGCTTAAAGGCACAAGGCTAGAAAGTCCAAGAGGTGAAATTGGAACCCAGGTAGTTTGGATCCACAGTCCAGCTCTGGAATAGCCACAGCACCTGACCGCTGGCACATGCATGGCTCTGCATCTTGTCACCCGCTGCACACGAGCACATGCATGTGCGTGCACATGTCCCAGGACCACCCCACCAACAACCAAAACTAGCTGCTGTCACATACTACTCAGGGAGCTCTTGGGGTCCTAAGCAAGGCTGGTCTGGGGGCTACCTTCTGTGTTCAGGGCCTGGGTTCTGCCCGGGGGCAAAAGGCAGGCAGGAAAACCCTGCACCAGGGCTTCAAGGAAAAGAGCTCGCTAGTCGGCCACTTGAGAGCTGCCTGTAGAGGGCAGTGTATGCCAGTGTGAGGCCAGCCACCATGCCCTCAGCCAGTCCTGTCTTCTGTGTAACCCCCGCAGACTCTGAGTCTACTCACCCACCAGACCCAACCCTCATTTGTTCCTCCTTCCCTTCAAAAATACATGATCCAGTCAGGCACCTACTCCTTGCCTTTCTACCAGACAGGATCGCTGGATCACACATAAATGAACAAATTACAGCCTAACCCGCCATGCCCCCACATCCCACGCCTAAGGTGTGAGTGCTGGCGGAGGCAGATGCTTGACGAATAATGGGAAGGGGGGCGGGGTGGGGGGGGAGAAAGGCTGCCAGGATAAAACAGTCGGTTTTAAGAATCACCACACAAACCATCTTTTCGTTGGGCTCCAAAGTGCTTTTGGAGGTGCCCAGCTGCTCTCTCCCCAAAACAAAAGTGAGGAGGACGTGCCTCCTCCGGAGCTTTCCATCTGACAGACACTGCAAAACAGAGCCCCTCCCCGGCCTCAGTTTCTCCAGCGTAGGAGGACGAGCCAATGCCTCGGGGGACCTTGCCAGCCCCGCCCGGTTTCTGAGGAACTCAACCGGCATTGGAGCTGTCCCTCCTGCGCTACCAAAGGGTTCCTCCGAAGCCTGTGGTCAGGCCGCCACTTCCTGGGAAGCCCGAGCCAAGACCAGCTGCAGGCGGGGAGTGCGGGGGAGGCTGCCCGAGGCTCCCGGCTACAGGGGAAGGGCACGGCTGGAGTAGTCCCGAGAGGTCCGAGGCCGGACTTCCAGGTAGGGCGGGGAGGTCTGGCTCGAGCAGAGAAGACAGAGACCTGCCGCGATGGGTACTGAGCCACCTGACGAGGAGAGGGCGCGTCAGGGCTAGTCCAGAATATCCTAAAGACCTAGGCTGCAGAAATCTGCGCTGAAGGCAGGGGGGCAAAACAGGGGCACTAGTTCCGAAGGGGGCGTCCGAGAAGTGACCAGGGGGTTCAGGGACGAGGCCAGGGTCCTTGATGGGAGGTTCCTAGGACAGGTGCGAGGCTAAGTCAGGGCAGAGGTCCTTGCAGGGGGGTGTCTCCCGGGTGTGCAAAAGGTCGAGCTGGGAAGGCCTCCACCAAAGAAAAAGAAACCGAAAGTGGCGCGGAAGAGCTGGGCCTGCAGGGGGGTGGAGCCTTGGGGCGGAGCGTCCTATCGCGGGGCCCCGCCCCAATCCGGTTTAAAAGACTGGTGCAGGGGCGGGCGCGGAGCAGAGCGAGCTGCGGCCGTGGCAGCTGCAGGGCTCCCGGCC